AGGATTTGGTACAAGTAAAAGAAAATGTTTTACAATAGTAGATGACAATGCTTTGATATTTGAGGGGAGGCTGTGTACCAAATGACGAAGGGATAAAGAAAAAGATATTTGAAGAAGCTCATTTTAACCCATACGCTGCACATCCCGGAATGTATTGAGACGTTTGCAATATATTTTGGTGGAGGAATATGAAAATGGGGATTGGTCTCTTTGTTGAGAAGTGTATGACATGTCAGCAAGTTAAAGTAAAATATCAAAGGCCATCAAGACCATTAAATTCATTAAAAGTTCCAGAGTGGAAATGGGAACAAATAGCCATGGATTTTGTGGTGGCACAATGTCATCTGAGTAATTGGGACAGGTTGACAAAGTCAGTTCATTTCCTTCCAGTAAGAATGAAGTACAGTATAGATCAATTTGCTCAATTATTTGTTAAGGAAATTGTTAGGCTGCATGGAGTTCCAACATCCATCGTCTCAAATCGATATCCAAAATTTATTTCCAAACTTTGTAAGAGCATGCAAGGAGTTATGGGGACAAAGTTAAATTTCAGCACTGCCTATCATCCTCATGGACAGTCTGAAATGAATATTCAGATCTTAGAAAACATGCTCTGGGCATGTGTCTTGGATTTGGAAGGTAATTGGGAGTTACGTCTATTGTTAGTGGAGTTTGCTCACAATAATAGTTTTTAGGCTACTGTGACATGGCTCTTTATGAAGCTCTCTATGTTAAAAGGTGTAGATCTCCAGTACACTGGGATGAAGTTCGAGAAATTTGAATTTTAGGTATAGAAATTATTGCATGGATAGTGCAAGCAATTGATAAAATTAGAGACTGAATAAAATCAGCTCAAGATAGACAGAAAAGTTATGCAGATCAACGAAGGAAATCGGTAGAATTTGAAGTTGGGGAGAAAGTATTTCTGAAAGTTGCACCAATAAAAGGGTTAGGAAAGAAGGAAAATTTAAGACCTCGATTTATAAGTCCTTTCGAAATTCTAGACAGAATTGAAAATGTGGCATACCGTCTAGCATTGCCACCTGGACTATCGGCAATACTTAATGTATTTCACATAACAATGCTTAGAAATTATGCGTATGATCTTGAGCATGTGATAAGGTATGACACATTGGAGTACTAACTGATATGACATATGAAGATACCCTTTTAGAGATTATTGAAAGGAAAGTATTGCATTAAGAAATAAAGAAGTTGCATTGGTCAGTGCTTTGATGAAAAAATCATGGAGTCAAAGAGGTTATTTAGGAGAAGGAAGAAGAAATAAAAGCTAAGTATACAAAGTTTTTTTTACTAGGTAAGACAATTTCGAGGATGAAATTAATTTAAGGGAAAATTGATGCCCTTAATTTTTACGTACTATTTTCGTATTGGCCTAAATTTAATATTGGTCATTCAGAAAGTGGAATGGTTTATATCTAGCATTGTCATCACACTAAAGTTCAAAAGCTAAAGTGATAAGTATAATCCACTTATTTGCAAAAATGATTTATTTTCTACGTGTATTTTCTTATTATAAAATAATAATATTTTATTATTATTATTATGGTACGATTTTTCGTAGAATTTGAAATGCTGTTATAATTTAATAAATTAAACATAAATAATTCATTAGGTTAGTTAATAAATTATTAATTTATATAATAAATTAATTACTTAGGCTATGTTTGATAGCGAACATTTTCCTTGGAAAATTGAAAAAAATTCATTTTCCACCCTTAAACCATGTTTGATGGCTTAAATTTTACCTAAAAAAAGATTTCTCTCCCCCCATCCCACGCGCCCATTTTCCTTAATTTTAGGAAATTCATTTTCCCACTATTTGGTGGGAAAAGGAAATTCCAGGTTTGGCCAATTTTATTTATTTATTTATTATTTTTTTTAGCAATGGAAACAAATTTCATAATTAATTGTAAAAAAAAAAATTCACTTTAATGTACAATTTACATGTAAAACGAAGTCAAGCGAATATTAAATTTTGATGAAAAAATAGTTTTCGTGCAAAAAATTTTTTATTTTAAATTTTAATAGACAATTTTCATGTACAATAAAGCCGAACGTTAACAAAAAAAATCACAAATTTCAAAAAATTTTCGGGTGAAAAATTATACAAATCAAACACACTTTATTAACAATTTTCTTAAAAATAATTTCTAGACAATTATTTTTCATGAAATTCATTTTCTTTCTACTTATTTTTCACAATTACAATCAGCTTTTTTTGAATTCCACACTTAACTGTCAGACTTGATTGATTGAAATAAAGAATAAATTAATTGACCTATTGAATTTTCAAACTTAACTTTCAGACGTTTTGGGTTGATAGACATCTTAATTGACCGGTAAGCATACAAGTGTGTGTGTGAGAGAGAGAGAGGTCTTTCCTTTACCTATGCAGAAGGTGATTTTCACACGTTAACACAAACACTAGTTGAAATTGAGCACCTGTTTGGGCGCTATTTTTTGGCATTACATTTCTTTTTTTCACTTTTCAAGTCGAGTGTTGGCAGTAAACAATTCAAACACTCCACCATGTTAGTCAAAGGTAAGCAATACCAGTGTAAGGACATTTTTGTCACATATGAAGGACTTGAGGGACGTTAGTCATATTTTGGAAATCTGTATCTTATGAGATAGGAAAAACATGCGGATAGCACCATCCTAAGCTTCATATATTAACAAGATATTGTCTAAATTTGCAATGCAAAATTCTAAAAATGGACAATCTCCCTTTAGACATGAAATTAATCTATCTAAAGGACATTCTTCCACGACTCCAACGGAGATAGATTACGTGAAAAAGGTTCCTCATGCTTTGGCCGTAGCTGCATGGGAAGCAGCAAGGGAAGCCGAAGTGGCAGAAGCTGCATGGGGTGTTTTTGAGGAAACAATGAAGTCATTGAAACGTACGACTGTTCATATGCCAGGTAACATCAATTCTTGAGTTTCGCTTATTTGCAAAGTCATCTTTTCATGCAGGTGAAGCCCATCATTTGTAGATTAGAAGCATGCTTGGCTAAGTTTAGATAATTTATCTACAAGTAAATAAGTTTTAAATCGAAAAACGTTTTCACTCATCAAAGTTTACTTCAACGGCAAGGTAAATTAAATTTCAAAATAAGCAAGGATCTATTCTCTTTACCATTTTCAAGTTGTTTTTTGTTTTCGATTTTCAAAAACAGTAAAAACGCGTTCTCTTTCCTATTTTCGAAGTATAATAACTAACAATTTCTTCGATGAAGATTCTGTAGCTGGCCACTTGTTGCACAAATTCTCGTTAAAAATACCTAAGACGAGAATCTGCAGATTAAATTTTTCCTCTTACAGGATCACTTCATGCATATGCAGATTCCCAGGTTGCAAGAATAGAAAGGGTTACTATTTGAGATTTTACTTCTTTTGCAAGGGTTGAGATGGGGATCAGGGATGTCAGATGTGAGTATGTATCTGAATTGAAAATTTTCAGTCATAGAGCACTTCTAATCTATTCGAAGTTTTTGGTTATGCTATTCCATCTTTTCTATTGGTGCCTGACATTGATAATTTATGTGTCTTTGCGACTGTGATTAGCATGTGCTCTAGTTAGATCCCATAGGTTTATACTCACTTGTCCGATACGAGGTTGTCAAATAACCACTGGGGGAAGTCCTACAAAAACCAATATGTTCTATCATTTACCATAACTCAGAAAGGAACAAGTAGAATGATCCACAAGACTAAAGACTTCCTATCCACTAAACTTTCAATTTGAGAATCAAATTCAAACCAAAACTAAGGAGAATCAAATTACACAGTAATTTCTGCACATACACGGAAGTTGCAAACAGATCTCCGATTTGCCATTGACTGGGGAAATTTGAAAACGGAACTATTTGCGGAACTATTTTAACCTTATCTGCCATTGCCAAGACATGAAAGTCTTAGCCACAGGCAAATACCCATTAAAATGAGTAGCTAAAAACTAAAAATCGCCCAAAAACAAATGAGAAAATCAGATACAAACAGGGGGAGAAACGACACGGTACCAGACCTAAGTCCCACTAATGACTAAACCCAAAAGCAAAAGTTATAACTTAATGTCATGGGCTTCCAAAGGTTTTACTTAACCCAACTTGCTATGGTGCTAGATAATCAATCTCACTATATCTCTTGTTTACTTCTGCTTATCCTAGAGAGCCTATAACAACTTTAATTCACACTTCTTCCACATCATCGAGTCCCAAGGATTGTTACCAATGACACCTTCAAACTTCTCAATATGGCCTTCTCATTTCCAAGCTCAATATTTTTGCAGTGCCTCAGCATACAATCTAATCAATAACACCTCGTGGAAAGAGAATACAAAAACTACTACTAAAACGAGCTTCACCACGAGGGCGGTGGGAGGTAGAAAGATCCAATTGGTGATCATAAGATCATGTACTTAGTTTTTAACTGCCACCCTGAAAACCAATCAAGCACAAACATGTATCTAATCAAATTGCCTCGTTTAATAGAGAAGTAAAAGACATACTTCGGTTAAGCATCTGCACATAAAATGTATTCCATGTCGAGATGGTAATTGGGATTGGTGACAATTGACACGGCCATATAAGTCATGTCAGGCTTCTAAATTTAGACCTCTTCACAGATTGAGCAGCATATGATTAACACGAATGCAACAAATATGTTCCAAAAGAAAATCATAATTTGCAGAAATTTGCAGAAATTTGCTTAATGAAAATCAAAATGCATTTGCCCCGCCCCCCCCAAAATGATCCGATCAAGAAATTAAATCCTACAGATAATCACACCATTTCAAACAAATCAAAATATATTTTTTCACTTCAATTGTAAATGTAAATCTGAATGCAAATGTTTCAAATTTATCCGAAAATATGCTGTCAATTATTGATAATCAACAAGGAAAACATTTCATTTCTCATTAATCAATCAAAATTAATATCATTCTACATTACCATAACAAGGAAACATTTGTTTCATTCCAATACTACAGTAGCACCAACTTCTTTGAGCTTCTCCACTATCTTCTCCGCCTCGTCTTTTGGCATCCCCTTCTTAACCACCACAGGCGCTTTCTCCACTAAATCCTTAGCTTCCTTGAGACCCAAATCCGTGAACGCCCTAATTTCCTTAATCACCTTAAGCTTCGCCGATGCATCAAATTTCTCCAATTTCAAATCAAATGCTGTTTTCTCTTTGGCGGCCTGTGGCGCGGCCGCGGATACTGAGCCTCCGCCTGCTGCTGACGTGGACTGTAGACCGGCTCCGGAAGCTGCCGGGCCAAACCGGTTCAGACCCATTTTGTGCCTCGAGAGGATTGAGTAATCGAAGCGCTCTATCTTGTTGAGAGTCAAGAGCTCATCAGCTATTCGTTCAAGCTTTTCGGTTCGGGTCTGGGTCTCGATACCGAGGCTGAAATTCCGGGTCATCGAGAAAAGGGTTCGAGCTAGGGATCTGGAAGTAATATATGAAATCATGGAGGGAATTTTGGGAATTGTTTTGAGCACTTCAGAGTTATGATTTCAATGGCATTTGCAGTAAGTGATGATGGGAACTTCCTCCGAGTGGAGACCCTTTAGGGTTCTAATGTCTAACGGTGAAAGAGGGAGAGGACAGGGGAATTTTCTCTGCGACGTCGTTTTGAATATTCAATTCATTTCCATTTCAATTTCAATTTCAATTTCTAGTTCATAACATCAACTATATATTGAGCTTCGGTTCTAGGCAGAGCGACAATTAGTCGAGAGTTAATTTTAGCGTCTTAAGAAAGTTTGAAATTTTTGTAATTTTATCTTTCTTTTCAATATTGTAATCTTCAATATTTATTTTCAATAAAATAGTTCAATTTCAAAATTTATATTGTTCTTAATTGACTATTTTTATCCCTTCTTCCCCGTGACCCTTGCCCTGGGCCTGTTTTGGTATCAGAGCTCTAAGTGTTTGTTGTGAGTTAAGTGTGTCAAAATACTGTGGTTACAGTGTCAAAGATCAAATTGGTGTGTAGTCATGGATGTCTGTTGAATAGAGGTTTGGTCAGCCCGTATGAGTCAGGGTAGGCGTTTAGGGTGGTCCCCTTTGTAGGCTTTGGTGAAGTATCGATCTAGCCTATAGCATTGTGTTTACAGTGGTAAAATTACTGTTTTTCTTTGCATCATTCAATTATGTCTTTTTTATCTAATTGATTTAGTACAGGTGGAAGTTCAAAAGAAAGAAATAATAATATGTCAAATTATTTTCAAGATAATAATGAAGAAATTGATCAAGGTAGTTCATCTTCATCAGCATCTGCATCAAACAATATTTCAAATGATATCAATTCAAAAGAGCTTCAAATTGCTCAAATTGAGCATAAACTTTAAAATTGGACTATTCCAA